GACCAGGTGCGTGGGGGGCCATGTCATCTCGTGGTGCCCGACATCCACAGGAGCTTCCGATGGTCGTGTCTAGGTCTTCAGAGTCGTCTTGTGGCTTCCTCTCGTAGTGGCTAGGGGGCCCTTGGTGGGGTGGCAGGTCGGTGGTCGGGGTAGCCGAATGGGAGGTAGGGAGACAGGGTCATAGGAGACCGTTATTCTTCATGGCTGTCCGGGCCACCCCGCCGGAACCCGCTGCCTGTAAGGCCCGTGCCCGGCCTGTCGCTGACTGCCCGTGGATGCTGTGGTTGTCGCTCCAGGACCCAGTTGGATACCGTCACCGTGGGTAGGCTCATGGCTCGTATGAAGCGTGGGACATCAGCTGGCCAGCGGATGATATGCCAGGATTGGCCCACCTTCACCTGCAGGCTGAAGGGGAAGCCCCATTTGTATGGGATCCTCCGCTCCCGGAGAATGGCGGTTACTGGACGCAGCGCCCTCCTGGCCTCTAGCGTGAGCGCGGAGAGATCCTGGTAAAGCGAGAACTGTCCGTCTCTAAAGGCGATGTTCTGCTGATTGCGCCCCGCTCTCATGATGCAATCTTTTAAGGCGTAAGAGAGCAAGCAGCAGATTACGTCTCTCGGTGGTCCCTCAGGGGACAAGGGTCGCAGCGCTCTATGGGCTCTTACGATACCGTAATCTTCTGGGGCTCTGTCTCCCAGAATATGGGTAAACAGGTCTGTCAGGAGTTCTGGCAGCGTTTCGTCCGCGTTTTCGGGTAGGCCCCTTATGCCCAAAAATTGCCAACTCACCAGAAATGGTTGCTTTCCTTCTCTTCATGACATACTCATCTCCCATCAGACTCACTCAAACTGAAGGGAAAGGACCTACATTTTTTAATTCACTTTAAATTTAAGGTAAAAGTAGCTAAATCTAAATAAATCTCTAAGTCAGCTACGCTTTCAGATGTGCTTTATGTTTTATTCACTTTGAATTCTCACTTTAGTAATAACCCTGTTTGAATGCCTGACAATTCCTATTTTAGTAAATAATCTTGATTGTGTGGTTGGAAATGCTTGGGTATACTTGGGTATTACTTATACAAAGATAGTGGTCAGGGAGCAGTTGTGTGGACCTGGGCAAGAGTTGAAAGGAAAATGTAAACAAAGAACAAGCAGACATGCAGAGAATAAAGGGGGATCAGGGAGTGACTGTCAAGAGGGGATCTGGAACATTTTTGTTAAATGTGTGCATAAATTAAAAATATAATTCTAAAAAAAAAATATGGAACAATATAAAGTATTGCATTGTGTTTTGTAAATATGACTGCTATTTCAAGCAAATATCAGGGGGTAATTGTTTGGACCTTGTTTGTTGCATAACTGGTTGTAAAATATTGATGATTAATTGAAGAAATATAGGGTTCAGGGTGCAGTTGAGCGAACCAGGACAATTAATATACCGAAAAGTAAAAAAGCTGTCTTTTTATGTTTGTAAGATATATACTGTAAAATACACTTCAGAATATTACAATATGTAGCAACATCTGTCCAGCTATGTTCTTGCTAAAGGCTATTTTCCATTTTTATATATGTACCATATGGCACCATAGAAATAGGTATATTATAAGCTCATAGCTCTGAAATAACAGGTTTCTACTGTAAATGTACACAGGAAACATCCTGATATAAACAGAGGTTAAAGTAAACATTTTTTATGCACATAAGTACAAAACATTCTTTTCAATTTCCTTTGTTATTTTAATTTGTTTAGTGATACTTAACCAGAAGGAATTTTTAACTCAGTGATGGCTAATATATATATATATATATATATATATTGGACTCCCACACCTACATCATCATTTATATCAAACCGATCCTTAACCAAAATTACATTTTACTGTCATTTACATTGCTAAGTAATGTAAATTAAAATGTGTCTAATAAAATTTACCCTCCATTTTTGTAAAGAATCTAGATTATATAGCAAATCTTCATTCTCTCCTTAGAAATGCTTCCCAACTGACCCCATTTCAAGTTGAACAGTCCCGGTTTCCACCCCATTAATTTCACTATCCATCTGGCACTGTGCTGAGGGTACTAGGACTATGCAGAGAGCACCTTTAGCAGTCAACCAGGATTAGAGGCTGTTAGTCGGTCAGATGTGCATTCACATCAGGCTGACATGCTTTTATCACTGGCATGCCGCCCCCTAGCTCTGGTGAGGTATTGCTAGAGCTGTATAAACAAAGTGACTTAATTCTTAAACAGCATACAATTAACTTCAGGGCATAATCTACATAACAGAATTGCTTAATTAAGATAAAGCTGGCTTGATATATGGCTCAAAGAAATAAAAAAGACAATATTCCTTTAATTTTACTATGTTAATTAAAATAAACCACAACTAGTTTTGCCAACACAGGGCTTCATCAAGTGGTTTCTATTAACACTCGATGAAGCCCTGTGTTGTTCATCAAGAATGCAAAACCAACCCCAAATTTTTTTTTAAGTACATCAATTCTAAAAAAACAAAACATGAAAGTGCAGGTACACTGGAAACAGAGATGAGTCTGTTAGCTAATGAAGACCAGGAAAAGGCAGAAATTTTAAATAACTATTTTTCTTCAGTATATATTAAATAAGGATCTTATGGCAAAAGATATGCAAATGACTGCTGCAAAAAAACTTGCAGATAACTTGTGATTGGATGACTCGAAACAAGGTGCTACAGCAGTTAAAGAAAATTAATGTAAATAAAGCTCCGGGGCCTGACGGTATTCAGCCACGAGTACTTAAGGAGCTAAGTGGGGAAATAAGTGAACCTCTGTATTTACTTTTTCAAGATTCTTTTGTTTCAGGTATTGTATCGAAGGATTGGAGGAAGGCAGATGTTGTTCCTATATTTAAAATAAATCCTATATTTATTTATATTTAAAATACTTGCCTGGAAATTATAGACCTGTGAGCTTAACTTCAGCGACTGGGAAAGTATTTGAAGGGCTATTATGGGATAATATTCAGGAATTCATTGGGAAGAACTTTATTAGCAATAATCAACATGGTTTTATGAAACATAGGTCATGTCAAACTAAACCATTTGCATTCTACAAAGAAGTAAGTAGAAGTATAGATCAGGGGTTGCAGTGGATGTGATCTACTTGGATTTTGCCAAGGCATTTGATACAGTTCCTCATAATAGGTTAATCTTCAAACTAAAAGAAATTGGTGTAGATGAATTTTCTTGTTCTTAGGTAGAACATTGGCTTAAGGATAGAGTACAACGAGTTGTCATTAATGGTAAATTTTCAGGCTGGACAAAAGTGGTAAGTGGTGTCCCTCAGGGTTCTGTTTTGGGACCGCTTCTATTTAACATATTTATAAACGATCTTGAAATAGGCCTTGAAAGACATGTTTCAGGGTTTGCAGATGACACAAAACTTGGTAAAGTAATAAAATGTGAGCAGGATATTGCTTTGCTGCAGAGGGATTTGGATAGATTGGGGGACTGGGCATTAAAATGGTAGTTGAAATTTAATGTAGAGAAATGCAAAGTTATGAATTTCATGGTCAAGAATGCACAAGCAACTTAAACCCTAAATGGCAGTGAATTAGGGATAACTACACACGACAAGGCTTTGGGAATTGTTGTAGACAGC